ATGGTGAAAAACCGCTAACGGTAGCTGATAGCAAGTAGCTAGTTAGCTGGCTACTCCCGTCCGGTAGACCTAGAGGTAGATATGAGCCTGGCTCTAGGCTAGCTCGAGGCTAACTGGTGCTTGCATCGGCGGCAGTGGTGATTAGCCAGACAGCAACATCCATTCGGTGTGGCTAGCTAGTTGCGATCCGGTGATTAATGTCCAGTGATTAAATTATTCCCGCAGAAAAATCCAATGTTCTGGGTGAATACCGCTAACTGTGGCTAATAGCAAGTAGCTAGTTAGCTGGGTAGCTAGTTTCAACTGGAGATTCTAGATAAAAGGTAAGTCAATAATAGAATCCGTTCCACATTGAGTGAGGCGGGTTGCAGGAAAGTATATTTTGTAGAAGGATGAAAAGTCTGATAGGGAAATATGTACGAAAAATACAAAAATCAGGGTATTTACAGGCTATTTACAGACACACGACAAAAACAGGACTGCACTACTACGCCATCTTGGAAACAAGAGTTGTTGAGCCATCCTCAGTTTTCTCCTATTGCAGCCATTAAACTCTGTAACTGTCTTAAAGTCACCATTGAAATCCCTGAGCGGTTTCCTTCCTCTCCGGCAACTGAGTTAGGAAGGACGCCTGTATCTTTATAGTGAGTGCAAATGTTTTCTCCTGAACTTATTTAGGCTTGCCATAACAAAGACGTTGAATACTTTGCAAAAAAACAACATATGGGGGATTGGAAGTGATGCAGACAATTACATTGATGGAAGTTACAATCTATCTGCAACATTAAAGCTGATCTACCCCCCAAAAAAAATACAAAAAAAAAAATAGGTTGAATACATTTCAGCATTTTCATTTTTAATTAATATTTATTTATTTTTTATCTAAAAACATAATTCCACTTTGACATTATGGGGTATTGTGTGTAGGCCAGTGCCACAAAATCTAAATTATTATTATTTTTTAATTCAGGCTGCAACACAACAAAATGTGGAAAAGGTCCAGGGGTGTGAATACTTTCTGAAAGTACTGTAGGGTATCGGGTGCCATTTCTGACACCACCATAGAGATTTGCAGTAAAAGGCTCAGATCGGGCCTTAATGTGAAAACTCTGCTTGAATCATAAATTCAGAGTTCAATATTCAACATTAAATGGAGGGCTTTTTAAACACACCATTAATCAACAGACAGCTTTATTCAGAACTCACGGGACTGTTGGCTGGAGCTCAGGAAGTGTCAAAGACTGTTACTGCTGGGGGTCTGCAAAAATGAATAAATATACAGTGCTGTGAAAAAGTATTTGCTCCCTTTCTAATTTTCTTTACTTTTGCATATTTTTTATACTGAATGTTATCAGATCTTCAACCAAAACCTAATATTAGAAAAAGGTAACTTGAGTTTACAAATAACAAAATGTATACTTACTTTATTTATTTAATTTACAAAGTTATGCAACACTCAATTCCCCTGTGTGAAAAAGTAATTGCCCCATTACACTCAATAACTGGTTGTGCCACCTTTAGCTGCAATGACTCCAAACAAACGCTTCCTGTCGTTGTTGATCAGTCTCACGTCGCTGTGGAGGAATTTTGGCCCACTCTTCCATGCAGAACTGCTTTAACTCAGCAACATTTGTGGGTTTTCAAGCATGAACTGCTCGTTTCAAGTCCTGCCACAACATCTCAATTGGGATTATGTCTGGACTTTGACTAGGCCATTCCAAACTTCAAATTTGTTGCTTTTTAACAATTTTAATGTAGACTTGATTGTGTGTTTTGGATCATTGTCTTGATGCATGACCCAGCTCCGCTTCAGCTTCAGCTCACAGACGGATGGCCTGACATTTTCCAGTAGAATTCTCGGATACAGAGCAGAATTCATGGTTCCTTTTATTAAGGCAAGTCGTCCAGGTCCTGAGGCAGCAAAGCATCCCCAAACCATCATACTACCACCCACCATGCTTGACCGTTGGTATAAGGTTGTTACTGTGGAATGCTGTGTTTGGTTTTCGGCAGGCATAATGGGACCCATCTCGTACATGCTCTTCATACTACTTACAGATCTGCTATCTTCATTTGTAGTGTATTCAAGGTTTAAAACGGCTTCTAAAGTTTGTAATTTCCAACAAAAAAATTATCAACCCCTAAAATGTCAATTTAATTATAATGCACATAATATTTCACATATCTTGTTGCTTCAGGAGTATTCTCCTGCTGTGGTCAATCTGGTCGTCAAATTAAGACAGGCAGAAAATATTAGGAGCACCTTCCCAATACTGAGTTGCACCCCCCCAGGGATCATGTTGACTCCAATGATTCCCACAGTGGTGTCAAGTTGGCTGGATGTCCTTTGGGTGGTGTACCATTCTTGATACACACGGGGAAACTGTTGAGCGTGAAAAACCCAGCAGCGTTGCAGTTCTTGACACACTCAAACCAGTGCACCTGGCACCTACTACCATACCCCGTTCAAAGGCACTTCAATATTTGGTCTTGCCCATTCACCCTCTAGATGGCACACATGCACAATCCATTTCTCAATTGTCTCAAGGCTTAAAAACTATTCTTTAACCTGTCTCCGCCCCTTCATCTTGAATGATTTGAAGTGGATTTAACAAGTGAGTAGGTAGAATCTAGTGAGAGTACTGTAGGTAGAATCTAGTGAGAGTACTGTAGGTAGAATCTAGTGAGAGTAGGTATTAGGTAGTCGGGATTTATCCTGGAGTGTCCCAACAGTTGTGTTACCGTTGCCCAATAGTTTTGCAGTGCGCTTGGGAGGAAGTTATCTTTGATCAGCTCCAGGAAGAAGTTGGATTTATCCCTCTCGCTGGGGATTTGCAAAACTAATCCACCCTCCAGCGACAAGTGTGAGTAGGTCAGGACAGAGGCTTGGGCAGTGGATACCTGTGATACCAGGAACACGCTGCTTGCTGTCTTCAGGTCATCAAACCATGCCTGCCACCTGTAATGTTTATACCACAGAAATAGGATCTGGCCTCGAGTTAGTTCGCTAGCTAGCTGGAGTCTTTGTTCTGTTTCTTTATTCTACCTCCATCCACACACAGCTTCCCTTCTACTCTGTCGACAGCCATTCAACCAGAATCACCTTTGAGAAAAGAGTGAAAAGAATCTCTGTGTGTGTGTGTGTGACATCAGAGAGGTTTGTCAGTGCGTGGAGGATTGGGTGGGGTTGGAGGTCAGAGGTCGGTGATAGGGTCACAGGGATGGTCTTGTGTTTCACCCAAAGATGTGGGGCCTCTGTTCCTGTTCTACCCAGGCTAGGCCCTGCTGAATGGGACCAAAGAGCGCGGAAGTGAGAGAGGGAAATTAAAACTTGTGTTTTCAGGTATCTAGATGATACAGATCTTAATGGCTTGTTATTAGAGCCGGTGGGAGGGGGCGGTGTGTGTAGGGTGAGGGTCTCCGGTGGTCATATGAGAGACTGGGTTGAACTTTTGGACCCCCAACAGAGGCTGCTCTATATTTGGTAGTTGAAGCGCGGCTGACGACCCCTTCTAGTGACCCCGTGACCCCCACACCTGCTCTCCCTCAGACAGCAGCACTTCCATCCTCTTATTGTGCCCATAGCGTCAGATATTCACTTCTCTCTCCCTCTCTCTCTTTTCCGTAGCTAACTACAGCCTGGCGAGGATACAGACTGTAAGTTATTTGTGTTGAGGTAATGGAGTCAAGCTCATAGAGTTATGATGACTGTATGTTACTATGTTTCATGGCTTCAACTACGTTGTGTTGAGGTTATGCTGCTATCTGTTGTTTACAATGATTATTTCCTACCATTCGCCAAACGGCCTGTTTATGTCGTTAGTTGCCTATATGGTAAGCATACTAAGCAATACATAGACCATAGAATGTAAATGTGATTTTTCTGTTCTGGTTGTGTGTATGTCCCTTTCAACGCCACTGTGTCATCCCCAGTGTGTGATCAGTCCCGGAATCCCTGTTCCTTATTTAGTTCCCAGGGGTTAAGGGTCAGGGGGTGCGTAGGGAACATATGAATGACTGCTTGTTATCAGGTGCTGGACAAAAGAACCTGTGTATATGTGTCGCAGGCAGGCAGCAGGAAACTTGGGATTCACAGTGCTAGCGCTCAACTCAGAGCTAAATAAGAAACACAAGCCAATCAATAACCACCTAACTCACAAATAAACCATTGAAAACAAAATAAAATCCTCTAGACCATATCACATTTACATTTTGGTCATTTAGCAGTATCCAGAGCGACTTACAGTCAGTGCATTCAGCTAAGGTAGTTCAGTAAGTAAGTCAACAACATGTTTCAGTCATTGCTTTGTCATTATGGAGTATTGTGTGTAGCTTGATGAGAAAAAACAACAACAATTTTATCAATTTTAGAGTAAGGCTGTAACATAACAACATTTGGAAAAAGTCAAGGGGTCTGAATACTTTCCGAATGCACTGTAAGTCAACTACATGTCTGTCAGTGCCAGTCAAACCTTCCTCAATAAAGAAGCTATCAGCAAAATCAGTGTTAGTAAGAAAAGATAAAGGGAAGGTAAAGGTTGATACCTCGTCAGTTGTACAACTCAATGCATTCAACTGAAATGTGTCTTCCCCATTTAACCCAACCCCTCTGAATCAGAGAGGTGCGGGGGGCTGCCTTAATCGACATCCAAGATTAAGTTTTAGTGCAAGAAAGACAACAGTGGTGTTTTAATAATAAAATAATGAACCGGATCGAGAGAGGCTTATACGTTAATATCTTGTTGAATTGTACATAGCAAATGCACAGAGGCCAATCTTTTTGGTTGAGTCGTGTTCCCTCCCTTTCTAAGTATCTTACTTCTCATCAGTAGGCAGGTGACCTCTGACCCCGATACAGTAAATGGTGTTGGTCCATCCTGTCACCCAGCCTGGCAACTCATCTGACACGTCTGCTTTTTATGTAATGGCTTCTCCCATGAACCCTCCACTTCTCTTTCCTTCCTCCTATGCCCCATATCTTTCATCCCCTCCTCCATTCACTAGAGCTGTGGCCTCAGGAGGAGCTGGCCACCATTTGATTGGTTAGCTAATGTTGGCTCTATGACCAAACGGTGACCTGTGAGCTCTAATGTTGGCTCTATGACCAAACGGTGACCTGTGAGCTCTAATATTGGCTCTATGACCAAACGGTGACCTGTGAGCTCTGTGGGCTCTATGGCCAAACGGTGACCTGTGAGCTCTGTGGGCCCTATGACCAAATGGTGACCTGTGAGCTGTAATATTGGCTCTATGACCGAACAGTGACCTGTGAGCTCAAATGTTGGCTTTATGACCAAACGGTGACCTGTGAACTCTAATGTGGGCTCTATGGCCAAACGGTGACCTGTGAGCTCTAATATTGGCTCTATGACCAAACGGTGACCTGTGAGCTCTAATGTTGGCTCTATGGTCAAACGGTGACCTGTGATCTCTAATTTTGGCTCGATGGCCAAACGGTGACCTGTGAGCTCTAATGTTGGCTCGATGGCCAAACAGTGACCTGTGAGCTCTAATTTTGGCTCTATGACGAAACAGTGACCTGTGAGCTCTAATATTGGCTCTATGACCAAACGGTGACCTGTGAGCTCTGTGGGCTCTATGGCCAAACAGTGACCTGTGAGCTCTGTGGGCCCTATGACCAAATGGTGACCTGTGAGCTGTAATATTGGCTCTATGACCGAACAGTGACCTGTGAGCTCAAATGTTGGATCTATGACCAAACGGTGACCTGTGAACTCTAATGTGGGCTCTATGGCCAAACGGTGACCTGTGAGCTCTAATATTGGCTCTATGACCAAACGGTGACCTGTGAGCTCTAATGTTGGCTCTATGGTCAAACGGTGACATGTGATCTCTAATTTTGGCTCGATGGCCAAACGGTGACCTGTGAGCTCTAATGTTAGCTCTATGGTCAAACAGTGACCTGTGAGCTCTAATATTGGCTCTATGACCAAACGGTGACCTGTGAGCTCTGTGGGCTCTATGACCAAACAGTGACCTGTGAGCTCTAATGTTGGCTCTATGACCAAATGGTGACCTGTGAGCTCTAATGTTGGCTCTATGGCCAAATGGTGACCTGTGAGCTCTGTTTTTTACATTGTAGAATAATAGTGAAGACATCAAAACTATGAAATAACACATATGGAATCATGTAGTAACCAAAAAAGTGTTATGTTATATTTGAGATCCTTCAAATAGCCACCCTTTGCCTTGATGACAGCTTTGCACACGCTTGGCATTCTCTCAACCAGCTTCACCTGGAATGCTTTTGAAGGAGTTCCCACATATGCTGAGCACTTGTTGGCTGCTTTTCCTTCACTCTGCCTTCCGACTCATCCAAAACCATCTCAATTGGGTTGAGGTCGGGTGATTGTGGAGGCCAGGTCATCTGATGCAGCACTCCATCACTCTCCTTCTTGGTCAAATAGCCCTTACACAGCCTGGAGGTGTTTTGGGGTCATTGTCCTGTTGAAAAACAAATGATAGTCCCACTAAGCCCAAACCAGATGGGATGGCGTATCGCTGCAGAATGCTGTGGTAGCCATGCTGGTTAAGTGTGCCTTGAATTCTAAATAAATCACAGACAGTGTCACCAGCAAAGCACCACCACACCATAACACCTCCTCCATGCTTTACGGTGGGAACTACACATGCGAAGATCGTCCGTTCACCCACAGCGCGTCTCACAAAGACACGGTGGTTTCAACCAAAAATCTCAAATTTGGACTCCAGAACAAAGGACAAATTTCCACCGGTCTAATGTCCATTGCTCGTGTTTTTTCATCAAGGCAAAGGGTGGCTATTTGAAGAATCTCAAATATAACATATATTTTGATTTGTTTATCACTTTTTTTTGGTTACTACATGATTCCATATGTGATATTTCATAGTTTTGATGTCTTCACTATTATTATACAATGTAAAAAATAGTAAAAATAAAGAAAAACCCTTGAATGAGTAGGTGTGTCCAAATTTTTGACTTGTAGTGTAATTTCATTGAAATGACTTGGAAACAACGTTGATTCAACCAGTGTGTGTGCCCAGTGGGCTCTCACTCTATCTCTCTCTCTCTTGCACACATTCTCCCCCTCTGCTTCCTCTCCCTCCTCCTGTCCCTTTTCCCCTCCCCCTCCCTGCCCCTCTTTCGTTCTAATTTCATTATTCCCCCTTTCCGTCTAATTGGCACCTCGTTTCAGGGGGCTCCTAATTGGAGCAAGGAGAACAGGTGGCGCCACTCTGTTGTGATGATTCTTGTTAGCGCTGCAGTCTCTGTAATCTCTTTGTTTATGCAGTGTGAATGTATGAACTCCTGATGCTGTGTCCCGCTGCGCCACTCACCCATGGTGAACCCTGACGCCCCTCCACCACCCTTCCGACACCCCCGCTCTGCTCTCCCCCCCCCCCCCCCCCCCACCCTCGCCCCTCGTTACTGTCAAAGTCCGTGATGTGGGCCGCTGTGGATGGCTGCCCTCGCCCATGAACAGGAACAGGGGGCTGGTTGCCCTAGACTGGCTGGGGGCTGTGGTAAACTCCCTGGGGCAGGCCTCGGGAGGAGGAGAACGAATGTGATGGATGGTGGGTGGATGGTAGGAAGGACGAAACTGGTGTCGACCATCATTGTGCGGCAGATGGAAGTGGTGACAGTGGACGAGCTGTTAGCTGGAGTGAATAATAATTCAAATACTGAGCTGTATTGTATGCTCAAATATATATATATATTATAATATAACAATTGCTCAGAGAAAGACATTTTGGTTAACAAATAATACTTTTTTCTCTCAAAGGTAGGGGTCAAAATTATTGACAGATATAAATATTCTTATAAATGAAGTAGTCAGAAGTTTAGTATTTGGTCCCATATTCCTAGCACACAATGACTACATCAAGTTACAGAGGGTCAAAGATCATACCCCCAAGACATGCTAACCTCTCACCATTACCAATAACTGGGGAGGTTATCATGGCTTGGGGTTATGATCTTTGACCCTCTGTAACTTTCTCACTCATCATTATTCACAATTAATTCAGGATTATCCGTAATCATAGTAGTATCCACATTAATGTAGAAGTGTTTAGAAACATATTATATTATTATTTACAATAAAAGTGACTCCAAAGTGACACAATACATTATTTACCATTCATTTCTATTGGGCACAAAATAATCTGAAACACAACCATAACAAACAGCAAATGTGTAGAGTCACCAGCTTGATGTAGTCATTGGTGCTAGGAATATGGGACCAAATACTAAACTTTTACTACTTTATAAGAATCTTTAGGGGTGTCCCAAAAAATATTTATTGTTAAACAAAATAGTTTTCACTGAGCAATTTTATGAGTATAAAATAATGTAGTTTCCCAAATTTTTGGGTGTCAATCATTTCAGACCCCACATTATATGTCGTCTCTTATAACTGTTTCTCATTTGACCCCCACCATCCCTCTTGATCTTCTAACCGGGTCTGGGTCTATGTCCAGGTCCAAGTTTAGGTCTGAGTTCAGGTCTGGGTCTAGGCCTGTCCAGCCTAATGTGTTCAGGCAGGTGTGGGGGTTAGTGAGGGTTTGTAGGTCAATGCTGTGCTCTGCTTGGCCATCAACACAACCCTTAATTAGTCTCCTACTGCTTACCGGCACCCTTCCTTTCACTCTCTCCTCCTCTCCTCTCCACCACGCCACAATCTCCCTCTCTCCTCCTCTCCTCTCCACAACACCACAATCTCCCTCTCCTCTCCACCACACCACAATCTCCCTCTCTCCTCCTTTCTCTCGTTCAGTCGTTCTCCCTCGCTTTTCCTCTTTCCACACACTCACTCTTTTCTCTGTCTCTCTCGAACACACACCTCCCCCTCTGTCGTTCACTCACTCTTCTCTCTCATCGCTCGAACACACACATCTCCCCCCTCTGTCGTTCACTCACTCTTTTCTCTCCTCGCTCGAACACACACATCTTCCTCTCTCCCCCTCTCTGTCGTTCACTCACTCTTTTCTCTCCTCGCTCGAACACACACATCTTCCTCTCTCCCCCTCTCTGTCGTTCACTCACTTCTCTCTCATCCTTGAACACCACCCTTCCTCCCTTCTCTCTCCTCTCTCGAACACACACATCTTCCTCTCTCCCCCTCTCTGTCATTCACTCACTCTTCTCTCTCCTCTCTCGAACACACACATCTTCCTCTCTCCCCCTCTGTCGTTCACTCACTCTTTTCTCTGTCTCTCTCGAATATACATACACCACTGTATTTCATATTTCAAACGACAACATGCTCCTAGCTACAGCGCCTTCAGAAAGTTTTCATACTGCTTGACTTATTCCACATTGTGTTGTTACAGCCTGAATTCAAAATGGATTCAATATAAAACAAATTCTCAGCCATCTACAAACAATATCCCATAATGATAAAGTGAAAACATGTTTTTAGAAATGTTTGCAAATGTATTAAAAATGAAATATATAAATATCTCATTTATAGAAGTATTCACACCCTGAGTCAATACATGTTAGAATCACCTTTGGCAGCGATTACAGCTGTGAGTCTTTCTGGGTAAGTCTAAGAGCTTTGCACACCTGGATTGTACAATATTTGCACATTATTTTTTTTTTTAATTCTTCAAGCTCTGTCAAGTTGGTTGTTGATCATTGCTAGACAGCCATAGAGTCTTGCCATAGATTTTCAAGCCGACTTAAGTCAAAACTGTAACTAAGCCACAGGAACATTCAATGTCATCTTGGTAAGCAACTCCAGTGTATATTTGGCCTTGTGTTTTAGGTTATTGTCCTGCTGAAAGGTGAATTTGTCTCCCATTGTGTGTTGGAGAGCAGACCGAACCAAGTTTTCCTCTAGGATTTTGCCTGTACTTAGCTCTATTCAGTTTATTTTTATCCCAAAAAAAAACTCCCTAGTCCTTGCCGATGACAAACATACCCATAACTTGATGCAGCCACCACCATGCTTGAAAATAACGCTTTGTATTCGGCACAAAGTTAATTTCTTTGCCACATTTTTTGCAGTTTTACTTTAGTGCCTTATTGCAAACAGGATGCATGTTTTGGAATATTTTAATTCTGTACAGGCTTCCGTTTCACTCTGTGTAGTATTGTGTAGTACTCTTAGTATTGTGTAGTAACTACAATGTTGTTGATCCATCCTCAGTTTTATCCTATCACATCTGTTGCATCCTAAGATGCTGGGTTCTTTTTGACTGAAGACTCCGAAGCGTACTTATAATAAACAGAACATATTTATTTCATGTTCTCCTTAACATGTTCTCCTTAACACTCCCCAATACATCATTGAACTTTCACCGCCCTTGCATCACGTAATCCAATCACTTCAATGCAAGAACGGAAACCCCATTGTAATTTGTTAATTCAAATAACTCAACCCCTGCATACAAATCCCATTGGCTATTTGCAACCATTTAAAATCTGAACTCATTAACACATAATACATTTCTCAATACGTCACAACATCCATTAAAATCTAACTGTTTTAAAGTCACCATTGGCCTCATGGTGAAATCCCTGAGCGGTGTCCTTCCTCTCCAGCAATGAGTTAGGAAGTACACCTGTATTTTTGTAGGTACTGGGTATATTGCTACACCATCCAAATTGTAATTAATAACTTCACCATGCTCAAAGGGATATTCAATGTCATCTTTTTTTACCAATAGGTGCCCTTCTTTGCAAGGCATTGTAAAAACCTCCCTGGTCTTTGTGGTTGAATCTGTGTTTGAAATTCACAGCTCGACTGAGGGACCTTACAGATAATTGTATGTGTGGGGTACAGAGATGAGGAAGTCATTAAAAAGTCATGTTAAGCACTATTATTGCACACAGAGAGAGTCCATGCAACTTAATATGTGACTTGTGAAGCAAACTTTTACTCCTGAATTTGAGGCTTGCCATATCAAAGTTGTACACTTATTGACTCAAGACATTTCATCTTTTCATTTTTTATTCATTTGTAAAAATGTCTAAAAACATAATTCCACATTATGGGGTATTGTGTGTAGGCCAGTGACCCAATCTCAATTTAATCCATTTTAAATTCAGCACATCAAAATGTGGAAAAAGTAAAGGGGTGTGAATACTTTCTGAAGGCACTGTATCTTCCTGAGTATTCCCTTGTGTCCTCGGAATAATGATTTGCTTTCAAAATTCAAACCCTAGAGATCATGTGATGTAGAACCTGATGAAGGGGTAAATTGGCCAGAACATCAACAAGACCTCCTCATAACTTCTTGTAAAGGCTGTTGAGGAGAGGTGTGCGCTTGTGTGCATGTGTGCGTACATGAATGTGTGTGTGTGTACAAGAGGTGCTGTTCTTGGCTGACAACTGTAGTTGTTTTTGGCCATGGAAGTAAATGTACCTCTTTTATTGGCCCCTCTGTAACACTTGAGGTGGTCCTAAGCAGTCGCCGCCACCCAGAAACCCTTTGCAAATAATTAGCCTAATTTACCTTAATGCTAGCTACACATCGTGAGCTTAGAAGTCAGTTGCAATAAACTGTATGCATGTCAAAGGTAAATATTATGTGTTGGAAAATTGCGGCAGAAACGGGTATGGAGTTGATAAAATATGTTTTCCTGGCTGTTATGTGACTGGTGGCTATGGCTGCTGTGTTGTTTTCAGTTCTGGGGGCCATTCCAGAAAGCTTGATCAATACGTTTGCCAGCTACCTGTCCAATATTGCTTGAAATAATGTCATTTCGAGAAATAGACATTTACAAGGTATAATTGTGTTGATATCGAATTGTCTCATATCCAAGTCATTGGCTGAACCGCTGGACTGCGCACAGAAAGTTCAATGTTTTGAACTTCTTGAAAAGTAGTTAAAGGAGCCCACCACCCATACATAACTGTACGTATATGTAAATTACAGATATCTAAATATGTTTAAGCTTTAAATGTACATATATCAACTGAGCTACACAGTGGCAGAATACCTGATCACTGTGACTGACCCAAAATTAAGGAAAGCTTTGACTATGTACAGACTCAGTGAGCATAGCCTTGCTATTGAGAGAGGCCATCATTGCCAAGTATAATTAATGAATGGAAAATGTTGCTTTTTACATTACATACTGTAGCTAAGCTACATTCAAATTCATTGCATAAAACCACACAGTTCAACATTTAAATCACAATAGAATGCTATGGTTGTCACGGATTCTGCCGAGGCTGCTCCTCCTCCTTGCTCGGGCAGGGTTCGGCGTTCGTCGTCTCCGGAGTACTAGCTGCCACCGATCGATGTTTCGGTGTTTGTCTAGTTTGTCTTGATTGTTTTCACCTGTTTCCCATTATGTTACATTGTATTCCCTTTGCAACCCCCTGTCTCTCACTGGTTTTTGTGTGTGATTGTTTTCCGTGAGGTTCGGCAGTGTTCGTGTGTATGCGTATTTTGTTCCTCCCTGTTTGGAGGTTTTGTTTGTATTTTTGATTACTGTGCAAGTAAAGTTCGTCTGCCAGTAGCTCGGTGTCCTGCGCTTGACTTCGCTCACAGCATAAACGTCGCCCTGACAATGGTATACTTTGAAAAGTTTGAATGAATGACACATGACTGACAACTAAAAGAGTGCTTTCAATAATCTTAATTGTTTGCTCAAATAACTTGGTCCATTGTTGAATTGTGGCATAGGAGTCACTGGAAGGTCACATCTGAAACACAAAAATATAATTTACAAATGACCACTGTCCACTTAACATCTGTATTTGAAAATGATGTCTTTGAACATCAAATTGATACGCCTACTTAAAATGCAGATTCCTTCACCTCCAGTGTCCATTTTCAGACTCACAAATTGGATAATGTGGAGACAGAGTCACTGAAACAATTCCATACAAGATGAATAATAAATAAGGGGTTAATGTTCATGAACACATTTTAATTTAATTGGGAACTAGCTAGCCAAATGATACAAAAGGCTACTTACATTGGCTGGGGACCAGAAGGACTCACTGCAGGAGGGAAAATATGATAATTTTTCGCTATAAATAATCCTAGCTAGCTCGCTAGCCAGTTCTAGATAGCAAGCAACACATTGCTTGGCTAGCCAAGAACATTTAACAATAGCTTTGGCCATTAAATGATCTCTAAAAGATGAGCCAGCTGGTTCTATGGCTGGTTCTATGGCTGGATTTGTCATAAACTTTGATTTAGGGAAAACTTTGCCACAGATGAAAACCACTGGCCTGTCTTTGACTATAGTTTTGGCATCTTCCATAAATTGCGGCCGTGAATCCGCCATGGAAATAGTTAGAAAGAATACGATGAAGCTCCGGTAATATGGGTAACTTTTGAAAGAGAGCTGATATGCGTTTTTTTCTACATTGTAATGAACATGGTGCAATCTTTGGTAGGTAGGCTGCTGGCAGGCTTCGGCTGCGGTACAGCAAAGCCATGACCATTTTCTGGTAAAAAGGTGAAGGAGCATAAACATACGTTTGCACCCCCTTATTTTAATTTCCTCCATGGCTCAGGTGGCCAAGTGGACACAGGGCTGTTTGGCTCATCTCAGTCGCGAAGAGGGATAACTTTGCAGCTGTTTCTGATTTAATAAACAATGCCATGCTGGTGGGTGGTAACGTTCAAATAAAACCCAGCCCTGAAGTTAAACGTTGGCTGAAAATAATTACACAAGATTTTCATTTTTTTTTTTTTTTTGTGATTGAAAAACCTGACAAATTTGGGGAAAATTCTAAACCTGGAAAAACAAAACCGAAAAAATAAAAGTATTTTCTTGTGCCCTATGTATTCTTGTCTGGGGAAACTGAGAGGATCATTGCATGTCATGATAAACCTTAAACGCAGACCAAAGAGCCCAACTCCCCCGTACCCCAGCAGACTATTGTATCTGTCTGTTGTGGTTTGGAAGGTTAGGAGTATTGTGTATTATGTACTATTATGTATAATAATAGTACTATATGTACTTGTTATTCTCTGAAAATAGAACATTTCTTCTTTCACTTCTCACTGATTTATCACCTTTTTGTGTCCTCACCAGTTTACATCCCTGATTTTTGTGAGTGGTCTGCAGCACGGGTTCCTCTGTGGAATGCCCTCCCTAAATCTATCCAGACGTTTGTTTGTTTTGCCATTTTCCAAGAAAGGGAGATATTTGGGTTTGAG